GCTAACCATAACCAATCAATGTTGATGAGTGATCAATACTGCATGCTCCGCAATTCACCTAACAATGTAAGCATATATATATATATAGATATATATATAGGATTTACATAAGCAGTTCAATTGTTTTCATAAGCTTCATTGTTAATTTCCGATTTTTATCAGAAAACTTAATAAAGCTTTCGTATTTAACACATTCTTCACCACGTCTACGACTTCTGGGTTATGTAGCCCACCTCTCATATCAGTGAATGGATAACGTAGCGACGAATATGGTAGATCCATACGTGTATGTGTTAATCCCTGGCAAAAATCACATATTTTCGATTATTCAAAAACTTTATCGACTGATTCACATGAGACGACGATTTTTTTTTTCAATTAGCAATAACACCTGATTTTCGAAGTCATTTATACTTACTTACCTTTTCAACTTAAGTATGACCGTACACGCCTTCGTTCACAAGTACGAAAAATATGGTATAATGTAGAAACTTGATCATTGCGTATCCTTTTTCCAGTTCTTCATCCTCACTTTAACATAAACTAGCAAGACAGTACCACACAACCAAGAAATATTAGCAAACAAAAACTCAAAAGAACTTTCTGGAAAGTTAAAATATCTTGAAAAAAATATTTCTAATTATCCAGAGGTAATACACAGAAATTTTTTTATTAATTGTCATAAGGCTGATAGATATGTATAACCACAGGTGATCTTGTAATTGAAAACAGGACTCCATGTGTTTGAAAAAGAATAAATGGTGTGATGAACTCTCAATAACAGCGTTATATCAAAGGAAGTATTTTTTAATAAACAAATATTAATAAAATACTTTAATTTTAAAAAAATCTTTATTGAAAAACAAACTGCAGAGACATTTACAAAGTTCAAATTTCTAGCTTTGAATAAGGCTGTATATTTTTCAGTCCTGGAAACAGTTGTTAATTACAATTGAAAAAAAAAGTTCGGTTTTTCAAACACCAAAACAAATTATATTAATGAGGCATGTCACAAAATTTGTATAGATAACTTTCAATTTCGCTTTTCATGGATGTTCCATCTAAGGCGTTTACTGTTAGAGATGGGCAAAATTGTACTCTGAGTAAAGAGTACAATTACAGAGTAATTTACTCAAATACTCGCCCGGTTCGAGTATCGAGTACTTCAATCACTACTCGACCTCATGATTGACAAGTACAAAAAGTAATCACCTGTCCTCGTGAGTACTTTCTATTTTCAAATCTACTCAGCAATATTTTACTCTGAGTGCTTTTCAAAGTAATCGAGTATTTCATTATAAAAATCACAGGAGTAGAATATTTAATATTTCTTCCATATTGAAGTCCATTGTTATCTTATGGGGGTATAGTTTTTTAAAATAGTATCGATATTAATGTAAATCGATAAAATAAAGAATTATTAAAATATTTTGAATTTAATCAACTTTGGGGACCATTTTTTTTTTTTTTTTCTACACCACTTGACTTTTACGATAATGCTGTCGGATTTGAGATAGTGCCCCAGGGGCCCGACTTTTTGTAACTTTTCGGATTATATCGACATCAGGTTCAACTATTAGGTTTTGGAGGGGCGCTTTTTATGAAAAGGATGTTGGATTTCAGATAATGCCCGGGGCCCGACTTTTTGTAACATTTCGGATTATATCGATATCAGGGTGGACTATTATGTTTTGGGGGGCGCTTTTTATGAAAATATATCGAATTCGGGATTGGGCCCCCCGGGCCTCGACTTTTTTTCACTTTTTGGATTAAATCGATATCAGGATCGACTCCTATGTTTTGGGGGGCGCTTTTTATTAAAATGGTGTCGGATTCGGGATTGGGCCCCCCGGGCCCCAACTTTTTTTAACTTTTTGGATTAAATCGATATCAGGGTCGACTCTTATGTTTTGGGGGCGCCTTTTATGAAAATGATAACGAATTTGAGATTGGGTCCCCCGGACTCCTATTTTTTTCACTTTTTGGATTATATCGACATCAGGTTCAACTATTAGGTTTTGGAGGGGCGCTTTTTATGAAAAGGATGTTGGATGCCGGGGGGCCCAATCCCGAATTCGATATCATTTTCATAAAAAGCGCTCCCCAAAACATAGGAGTCGACCCTGATATCGATTTAATCCAAAAAGTTAAAAAAAGTTGGGGCCCGGGGGGCCCAATCTCAAATTCGTTATCATTTACATAAAAAGTGTCCCCTAAAACTATTATGGCCCTTGTATCGATTAAATCGGAAAAGTTATGAAAATTCGATGCCCGGGGGCACTATTTCAAATCCGATAGTATATTTTTATAAAAAGGGTCCCCAAAACATGATGGTTAGTCTAATATCGATTAAGGGGGGGTTAGAATTGGTCAGGTTGAATATGGCCGCTATTATTGAAGGAAATAAAAGAAAACATTTTTACTCTTTATAATAATGACGGAGTAGTTGAAAAATAAAAAGTACTCTTTGTAGGAATTTAGCTGAGTACTTTCTGTAATTCGATATAACAGCGCGAGTATTTTCTGTACTTAACTAAATCATGATTAACGCAGCGTGAGTACTCTCAGTACTCGCCGATCTTAGGCCGAGTACAGAAACTACTCGATACTTTTTCCTAATAAAATTACTCAAATCATGAAAGTAATCGAGTACTGCCCATCTCTATTTACTGTTTTCATCAGTTATTTGTTTGGTCTTCAGCAGTCATATCATAGACCTTTTCATATTTCAAGCAAGGATTTTTTTTTTAAACAAAATTTTATAATGCATAATGTACCATGCGTAATATCTTGAACTGAAAAATTCGCCTCTTTACTTTATTAATATCTTTAAAAGTAGTGAATAGTAACCCATGGAGGAGAAAGGACAATAAAGAGCTTCTTATAGAAACTGGTCAATCAATATCTCATGATATGAAAGTAAGGAGGTTAAGATGGGCAAGGTGTGTAGCTTTGAGCAATCCATCTCCTTGGAGACTACTGGAAGCCCAAAAATTAGATGGACAGATCGAATTAACAAAGAAGCAATAGAGCTGCATGCAGATAACTGGAAATAAATAACCCAAGAAAGCTAAAAATGGAGAAGGCTGGTTAAGATGGCAAAAGATCTATTGGCAAATAAGTCCTTTCAGTTTTTCATGGTGAAATAAAACTCATTGTATTATAGACATAAAATTTATTTTAATTTAAAATATATTAACCATTACTTAATATGACTTTTTTCCATCTTCCCACGAACTGCATAATGGCATGTTCATAGAATGTCTGGAGTTAATTGTTAAAAATTGACCCAAGTGGTTTTTGATGTCCTCTTCCTTTTGGAATTTCTTTCTATTCATGGAGTTCTGCAGAGACCGGAATAAATGGTAGGTCACTTGGAGCTAGTTCTGGTACATAGAGAGGGTTGCACAAAAGGTCCCATCCAAGGCTCAACAATTTATTGTGAGTGGCCAATGAGGTGTAAAGCGCCAACAGTGTGTGGGGCTTTACGTTGTCTTAGTGGAACACAACACCCTTCCGATTATTCATAACTCTTCAGGATGGTTTCCAAATTCAATGTTACTATGTGGTAATAGGTACTACTATATAATGTACTACTAGGTGAATTATTACTCTTCAAAGTCATATAAATGTTTTTTTTTTTTATTTAATGACTGCATAAGGAATAAATAAACAAAAACTTCTTATAGGTTTTTAGTTTTTATCTCCATTTGTAGTTTGTTTATGAAGGTCCTATTGATGTCATTTTGTGCAGTTTATATGGCCCTAAATTTCTTGTAGATAGCTAAAGTCGTATTGAAGTTATAACATTTTGATTTTCGAAAAAAAAATCATGTGAGGGATCCAAACATTAAGCCTGGAAACATAGCCGAGCTTGTGCAAATTGTTTTCTACGCTTATGTGCGACACATTTAGGGACATAGCAATCTCTCGCACTGGTTGGGTGAGATTTTGATCAACAATGGTCTTAACATTGCTCGTTTCAATTTCATGTGGGTAAGAGTAACCAGACTGTTGAGCATCATTGATGTCAAAATTTCCTGAATGAAATTTGGCAAACCAATTTTGACAGGTGCAATCAGTTAAGGTATTATCCCCATAAAGACTGCAAATTTTTCTATAAGCTTCTGCAGCACTCTCACCTTTTTTTAAAATAATACAACAAAATATGCTGATAATGAATATTTTCTTCCATATTCACAGTGCAATAGCAAACACAATACTAAGCTCTAGTTTCAACAAGAGTTACCAGATATAGTTGTTGATATATAACAAAGAGAATAAACAATCCACCTTAGGGATTAATTCATCAGATAATAAGTTTATCATAGTGACATAAAAATAAACAGAAAAAACAAAAGAACCTACCCAATACATAGTTAGTAATGCTAAAAAAAAAAACAAAAAAAAAAAAAAAACATCCATCTGGAAAACCTAATAAAAAACAAGGTTAAAAATTTAATTAATGCTTCATGCATAAAATATAACAAAACATCACTTCAAGGTGCATTCCATTGCCATGTGTACTTGAGTGAGCTGGTCCAATCTACTTTGAGTTGCCCAAAGCTCAGAACTAATAAAGGAGTAGATTCAAACCTCCGTGAACTCAGAAAAAGAAAATAATAATAGACTTTGATAAAACTCATACTAAAATAAAAAGTTTATTAAATATATTAATTACCATAAATACATCAATTTCAATAATAAAACAGTTTGAGTGCATGAGGGTATTAAACAGAAATAAACAATATAAAAAATAAATTTATTTAGAGAAAAAGTAATAAGATTACAATATTTAAATTTCAATTATAATAATTGAGCAACATAGAATACAATTGGACAATAAGAAAAATAAAACGAATAATCAATTAAACCTCCATGAAATTGAGAATTACTACAAAACAGTTTTATCAAAAACAAATTAAATATTATAAAAGGAAGACTAGTACAAAGTAATAGTTCTAAATGAAACAAAAAAGGTTAAGATAAATATGCAACAAAACCATCAATACAACTAATATAAAATAAAAACATTAACAATGTTTATTTTGGAAATAAATTGATCCTTTAATGAATCTTTTACTTCTACTGAATTTAATGAATAAATTAATTTATCCATTTTTAAGTAGATATAAATACTTACATGCATTTATAATGGATACAATGTTAAAAATCTTTTAAGTTCCATGACAATGTATGGATTTCAGTTAACAAATATTATAGCCAAAGCAATTTCACTGAATGAATCATTAACATTTTAACAAACCACCACCATACACAACATTCAGATCCTTATTTTAAGGACTTTTTTTATCAAAATTTAAGTAAAACAAATCTGACAGATATTCAATAAAATCATATCTTGACTTAAATATCTTCTGAAAAGATCTGCAGAAATTTATGAGGGACTGTGGTAGGTTCCCAAATACGCATTGCACCTGGGGCAGAAATGGTCAACTTGATATGGATCATTACAGAAGAAGTAAGGGCAGCAGGAAAAACACACAAACCTAAAGGAAAAGAAAAATTGTAAAGCAAACATAAAATAAAAATTCATTGTTTCACAACTATTTTCAACCTTCAGACTATGAATTTCCAAACTCAATTTAATAATATTAACCCCTAACTTACTTTGACTTGTCTTGGATACAGACATGCACTGCAGCCCCTTATGGGCTTATTATGTCTGCCCCAACAGCCATCTGGAGAATGCCAACATTTTCTAATCATGCTGATAACGGCAAGGTTCATTTCACAGGCCCCAGATGAAATAAATATCAGCTCGCCCAGGATGGTGTTAAACCTAAACTGACCTAAACCAGACATCCTGGGATCTTAGTCGTATTTGCTGAGCCATTTTTCTATATAGCCCACAAATCTTAATATCACAATTCATCCTCTTCACCTACCTTCAGCAGTGCATAATTATTTTCTGTAAAGCTTAAAATTTCTTTTTTAAAAATCAGCTGTTAACATAATCGTATAAGAGCAATCAAAACTTCATAGAAATACAAGAAAAGATATGGTTTATTGATTATCCTTGATATTAGAGAGTGCTCTCTGAGGAGCAAATTACTCTGAACATTACTCAAATACTGATTCTGTATGATTAATAAGGAAAGTAATTACATCAGTTGATGATTAACAATCAATTGAAATAGTGATTAAATCAGAGAAAATAATGTGCACTCAGTACAATGAGTAATTTTTGCTAATTTCTGGCTGTTCTTATGGATGGATAGGAGACAAATCATAAAATTCTGAGTAGTGCCTACATAGGAACTTTGGGTAGTGCCTTTTTCAGTCTGGATATGCAATGCTATCAAACTCATGTTTAGTTTTAGACATTACATAGCATGAATCAGTATACAAATATGTTGATTGGTACATATTACTAAACTACATGAAAAATTCTAATTGATCAGTTAATAAACACATGCTAGATTTTACTAATTAATTGGGATAATTAAACCCATGAATACTTTCTATTAATTTTTTTAATATGGGAATTTCTTTTAGTTTTTTATAAGATTATCAATAGATTAATCAATGGTATTGGACTAGTAATTCATGAATGACATCAGCTAGTATTTTTAAAAAGAATGAATAAGTCTATTTGAAATTATTCCTATAATATACTAGATCAATAATAAACAGAAACTTCTTCGAAAATTCATTAGGCTATCATTCATCAAATTTCCAGTTTCCAGTTCCAGTTTTTCAGGAGGAAGTTATTTGCCAGCCATACTTTATTTTCAGTAAAAGATATATTGGCTAGGAAGTAGGAAAACTATCATGTTTGGAACATATAGTTTTTTTGTGAAACTGGGTTTTGAAAACATCATTTCCAGAGAATGGTACAGGCCATTATTCTGATGACACTGGAAATCCTACATCACCATTGCATTAGGTTTAGGTTTCATTTTGCAAATGCCATGACCCAAGTTTTTCTCTCTCTCTTAATGTTATATTTTAATATTGTATGTTCGATTGATCAGCACGCCCTGTTAATTGACAATTAAACACAGTTGAAGCAGCCACTCCCAATTTTTTCATGATCAAGGCTTTCATTTGTCTTATCAGATTTAAATTAAAGGCAGTAAGATCTTGAGCTTTTTCTTTGTCTTTATAGGTTCTTATGGCTCTGCCAACCTTGTGGCCTTTGGCTATTTGAAACGGTCTTCTGCACCTCTGCCTGTATCTTTCGTGTATGCTCCATACAGCTACATAGTGTTTTCATTGGATCTCTATCCATTTTATTTTTGGCCTCCCATGTGGTCTCTTGCTAACTACTGATGCATTTTGTGTATTACAGTGTTATTTGGGTAATCAAAATTAAAAGAAATAAGTTAAGCATACTGCTAAACACTGACGGCTCCATATGGGAGAAAATAGTATATTGGGATGAAACCTCACAAAATAGCATTTTTTTTTTTTTTTTTGTCTCATTATAATTAAAATGCATATGCAGCTATTAATTGCAAGTACCTGCCAACAGTTAAGAAAAAAAGTATTAAAAAATTATCTCTAAAAGCATTATGGTTCCTGTAATTAACTTTTTTTTTTTTAACAGGTCTTCGAGAACCACTTTAACATCATTGTATATAGTTTCTTTCTTTTTTTCCAGAATAATTACTGATGTAAAAAAAAAAAATTAAAATCTGAATTTTCTACTGCCCACATTTTTGGTGGTAATAAATTGAGAAAAGGAAAAATCTAACCAATAAAATAGTTTAAAAAATCCTTTTCACAAAGTAAGATAATAACTGAAAAGCCGAGTGCCCTATCTTCTTGGATAACTTTATACATTAATCAAAAGCCACTACATTACGATCAAACACCAAAAACAAAACATTTTTGACAGAATACAACAATAGGATTAAATTAATTAAAAATAAATAAATAAAAAATGCAATAAAAAAAATTTATTGGTTACAGGACAAAATTGACATATACAAATTGTACAATAAACTATACATAAATAGACTTATTAATTCTATTGGGTTAATTGTGTTATAATAAACTTTTACAATCACAACACAATGCTAAAGGCAATTGAACTAGAAAGAATTCACTTATAAAAATTATAGGGACATTTCAAGTACTCAAATTTTCGAAAGCCATAGATCTCAACCATAGATAACGCTAAAAGATATTAAGTTAACACTAATTATATATTTTGATTAATAACAATATTTGATTTTTAAAAAAATATTTTTCTTTTATGCTTTAGAATTTATAAATCACAAAACACCTAAAAATTTAATTTTTGGTATACCTTACACCAAACAAAATAAAACAGATGATTATTAATTTCGGAAATTCACGAAATTGCGAAAAAATGTCATCTTACATCCTCAACCTCTTTGATATAAATGTAATAAACATAATTACAAAAATAGATAGATATTTTATCAAACATACATAAACATTCATTATACATGGATTCGTATATAGAATACTAATTAAGAGTATTTAACAGTAATTATACTTTCTTATAAGCGTATATATTTTTACATTTTACACCAGGCATGATAAAAGGAAGTAACACAATTTCCATTTCAGCAGATATTTATGAAGCCTCGACATATGTTCCAAGAAAGGCATTGCATCGAGGGCAAAAATGATCTACCCTATAAGGTTTATCACAGCAGAAATAAGGACAGCATGAACAAGGTATGCAGATCCTAAAGAAAAAACAGAATGAGAAATAAAAGTGCACTTCTTCTATTGACTTAAAAGTATCAGATAGTTTAAAGTAAACCACGCACCAGCACAAAAAAATAAAATAAAAAAAATAATGCAGAAAAAAGAGAGTTGAGTAGTTTCCTAAAAAACTCCTAAACATCGAATAAAATTCCAATTAATGTAAGTTTCATGCAAATACCTCATTAATGCAACCCAAAAGACATTAAGACATTTTCATATTTTAATAAAATAAAATATTTTGAAAATGAAACAAATGTTAATTTTGTTCAAAGGTTTAAAATATTATATTATATATATTATTATGATAAAACATTATATGAAGTCAGAACATTCATTTGTTTTTATCATTATTAACATATTCTAAAATTATCAAATAAATATAGATAACTGTTATTACCTAATAATTGTATATTTTTCTTTTTGGAAAGGTTAATTTAAAGACAGCTTCAATTAATAAAATTTCAAAATAACATAAAAACATGTTAGATAGCTGGAAAAAAAGGACAGCCTGTTTTTTGTTTGTAACAGTAAACCACAAAAACTACTAAACCAATCTTTACCAAATTTTTAACCAAGTCATCTTCATGGTTCCCAGAAGGTTTACCAAACTTTGATGTTGAAGGTTTACCAAGAATAAAGAATCTACTAATTTTTTTTTTATAGAATAATAACCATTTCTGTCAATGGAGTCTGTAAAACTGTAGGTAACTACTCTAGCACAACATATTATATTGTTTGTTATATATATTATTTGTTGTATTACATTGTTATAATCAGTTCATTAAATGCATTTGGTCATGTATTCATCATGTTTAATTCAAATTTAAATTTGAATATGCGAATGGAATAGTGGAACAGAGCTAGTTATAATTATAAAACTTTAAATATTTAAATTTGAACTGATAAAGATACTAATCATAGTACAGCATGTTATTACGTCTTACAAAAGAGATATTTTCTTTTTAATTAGGACAAATTCTTCAGATGCAGGTAAAAAACTAGAATCTGGGAAACCTGATAAAAGGATACAATGCATTTAAGGAAAATATAAATTATATTTATATAATGTATTAAATAAGACTTGATGATTGGAAGAAAACTTGAGAATTTTAAATCTTGAGCATGGATAAAAAGACATAACAAGCATCAAGTGAAAAATGTTAAAATATAAACTTTGATGGAACATAAAACATTTATGACACAGAATAGTAGATGATTTAATAGATTAATAGTAGATGATTAATAATATTAAAATTAAGAACACCGTTATAATATGCTTCAACTTGCAATATGCTTCTGCAAGATTATTCTTCAGCAATATAAAGTATTAACAAATAAATCAAACAAAAATTTTTAAATTATAAATGCTCTATTTCATGGTTAACTGATAGTTCAAATAAATTATTTATTCAATTTCACACTTGGCATCCCACACCTTGTTGTCATTTAATTAACAACAATTGGAACCCCTTCATTAAATTAGAAAGATTAATTCAATTAGGAATGTAATTTTTGTATTTTTTCAAAAATTAAAAGAAATGAAGGGTCTTTTTTACTTCGCTACTGCAAATCACTTTTCAATAAAAACATATGATTTTGGTTTAAATTGTTTTTAACTGTTACCGATTGGATTATTTATTGTGTAGGTTTAGATATTAAACAAAAAATGATTTTTTTATATTTATCTGCTACATTTCAGAGAGAAGAAAATGTGCTTCAATTACTCCAAGAAATGGTGATAGTGCATATCGGTAAAAAAAACATCTAATTATTTATCTCTTTATTTGAAAATGAGGTTATAAGTACGTAACAATAGTTATTAACAAATATGTAAGCAGTTAAAAAGAAATCATACATTTTTATTGAAAAATGATTTGGGGTAGCGAAGTAAAAAAGACACGAAATGTAGAAAAATGAGTCACAATTACAAATACAAATATATTGAAATCCTTTATAATTAATGAAACTATCTTTCTCTGATTAGATATACAATAAATTTTCTGGCGTGCCTTTCAAACTGTTTTAAGATCTTAATCAATGACAGTACTCTAAGTTCGTTTATTAAAGTCTCTGAACAATTCATCCCAAGCATAATGAAAACTTTTGTCTCCATGGAACACTCTGTACTCTACACTAAATTAAAATCTCTATCCTTCTCTAACAGCTTTATTCTTTGGTTTCAGTCTTTCCTTTCCGACCTGACTCAAGCAGTCAGCATTCCGAACCAACACCTACCTTTCTTCCTCACGCTATCCTCTGCAGTGGCCCAGAATTCGAGCATTGCCCCTCTCCTTTTTAATTCCTACATAAATGATCTTCCAAAATCCATCTACCACTGTTCACACCATATATACGCTGATGATTCCTAAATCTATTTATCCTTTCACCCTTCTGAGCTATCAGTCGTGTTCGCCCATATTAAGGCAGATCTAGATAGGATCAGTGCCTGAGCAAGTCTGAATAATTTAAAGTTAAAAGCGATGAAAACTCAGGCCACTAATAGACTTCCATTCTCTTGAATAAGAAATGTTTTATCGATCATCCCATCACACTCAGCTCCTCTGTTAAAAACCTAGGCACCAACATTGACGAGAATCTCTCCTGGAAACCCCATACCTCCCTCATCTCCTGAAAGTCAATAAGTACCCTTAAGTTATTTCATCGCTCCCGCCACCTACTACCACAACTTACCTACAACCTCCTTGTATACTCTTTTATTTCCCCCCACTTTGACGATGGCTCTGTGGTGTACGGAGGCATCCCGATGATACTCGAGGATCGATTGAAGCGACTTTTTTTTTGGGGTCCTCCCCTTCTTCGCCTTTAAGGCTATACGGGGTTTTCACAGGCCAGGAGGTGTGGGCGGGGATTTAAAAGACCCCCAGCACCGGGACACGAACTCATGATTATTTTAAATCCATTGTCTCATATATCAGGTTGCCGGGCAACAGTGGTGCTGTGCACACACGTTAGCCCGTTCGGCCACCCTGCCCACGTGACTGAAGTGACTTATGAATGCCTGCTTAAGATTTGTCTTTAGTACTTCAAGGTGGTCTCATGTGTCCCACTTTTAAGACAACTTAAAGTGGCTTTCCCTTCTTCCCACCGACAATATTTTCTTGGATCTTTCCTATTCCGAACAACCAACACCCGACACCCTACCTACATCTATAGTCTCCTACAATTCAAACACATGGTCCATACCCAGAAAACAAGAACCCATGTTTCCGGCCTTTATATTCCTTCCCATAGAACTAAGATATTTGAATATTTCTTTATTGACCAATCCACTGCTTTCTAGAATTCCTTGCCTTCTGATATCTGCCATGCCTCTTCCTTGTCTTCATTCAAATATTATTTCTAGCAATTTTTTCTGGCAATCCAAAATGATGTTGTACAATTAAATAAATATTATTAATTAAATTTTGACCTGAGGTGAATGGTTGTTGAAATTGTTTGAGTTTTAATTTTAAGAATCAACGCATAGTGCTTTTAACATTTTGTTGTTTTTTCCTCCTGATTTTGGTTTTTCTTTTAATTTAAATAATGTTTTTTTTTTTTCAAAATTATTATGTTTTTTATTTTCTGTCCATAATTGTTATTTTTAAGGGACCTCATCCCAGAATAAAGTTTATTTTCTATCCTATTTATTTTCTATTCAAAACATTTTAAGGTTTGTCCAAGAAAGGATGAGTCCACAGCAGAATTTAGGTTTTACTAAGTATGAAACCTGTAAGTATTGATATAAAAGTATCCTAACATTCAAAAGGGTATGTAAAATTGTAGATGTTGGCACTGAACTAATTCCTAAAAAGTTGATTACCACTGCACTGACTTATAAAATCTGAGGGGTATATCAAAAGATAGGTGGGAAGATTTTGATTCTAACAGTGGTTAAGGGACAGAGACGAGTATACAGCAATTGGTGGTTTCAAAATCCAACCTTCGGGTTCTCTAAGCCTTTAATTTATCATTAATTTTCACTGAACAAAATACCAATTTATTTAACAACAAAAGTTATATTGCTCAAGACTGTGGCACATTTTTTAATTGAAATAAACATGGTAAAATGATGAACTCCAAGTATAAGAATCATATCTAAATAAATATTACTAAGTTCAATGATATTCAAACAAGGTACCAAGTTAAGTATGCAACAATTGTTTGAGTTCAAATAAGTTAAATTATAATTTATTTTAAATAAATAAATAATCCATAACAAATCTGTAATAACCAAGACAGCAACATATTACGAGGTGACTCATCAAGATGAGGTAGCAATCCAGTAAATAAGAAACTAGAATAAAAACTCCTGGATGCTAAAGAAAGGGTATCATAATTATAGAAGTTCGAATAATTAATTATGTTTCCAAGTAAAATTCAGCAATTCAATTTCGTTATCATATAGGGTATGCCTCCAAATAATTTTCTACCATAACAATTTTATTTAATTTTTGCTACAAATAATTCTGAAATTCAGTTATTTTGAGCGGAATATTGTTTTAATTATCTGACCACAGCGCTGCAATAGAATTAGCTATGAATGAGTTAATAATCATGAAACAAAGACATATGTTAGTGGTTCCAATAGCCTTCAATGAGAACTTAATGTTAATTATATTATTACAAGAAGCTATTAAATTAATTACATGCATAGATCGATATAGAACAATAGACAAATATAAATAAAAATCTGTTCAATTCAAGATACCTAAAAATTAAATACAATAAAATTATGAATATCTATAATTCTCAATAACAGGACAGACTACTCATAAATAAAAAAGGACAGAAAAAATAAATAAATATAACGTTTCTAAAAATTTATTGATATGTTAATATTCACCATAACTGATATATTACTAAAGGAAGTTCATATTTTGATTAAACATGAGTACTTTTTCTTATTCTCTTTACTTCAGCTTAATCACGGCTTTACTGTTTTTCTTTAAAAAAAAAATTAAAGAAATGTAACATTATTAATTAATGAAATTAATTTAATAATGCAAAAATAGTAAATATCTGTTCATGACTCTCACTATGAAGTAGTAAATTTGGATTTCTTTTAACAAATTCTAAAAAAAAGAATATCAGCAACACATTGATAAATAAATTTATAATCACGTAAAATGTAGTATCTATAAACAGGAAAAAGCTCTCTCAGAACCACAACTGATTAAGTTATCTTTAACAATCAACAACTCACCAGGAAAACTTTTCTGAGTTACATCAATATTGCAACACATTCTCTTATGAAAGAATCAATTTAGTTCAAAAGTGTATTTATGAAACCCATTAAAAAATAAAAGATCAGAACTCATGAATCAAATCACTGAGTACAGCCAAAATCTCAGAGGTGTAAATAACCTGTACCACTACAACCCATGAAGGATCTGGGGTTCAGTACTATTTAGGGAAAGCACTGTTTCTAGGTCAACGGTTGTGCAAGGAGGTGATTTGACCGAGATCACGCTCAACTGCCAGGTTTTCCCCCTTAATTAATTATTTAATTAAGGGTACCCACTTTATAGAGGCTGGGTGTGCCCCAGGAGGGACTTTCTGACCAGAGGTCGCCCCACGGCCAATGAAACAGATAAATAAATTTTCTGCCATGAGCCAGGGTTCGAACTCGGGTAATAAGTTGTATAAAAAACTAAATTGAATAAGCTTAAATTGATGAATTGCATTAATTTAAATATAATTGATCAATTATTTAATTAATATAAATACTTCATATGATCGTCAAAATCTCAATGACCATCCATATTTTTTTTAACTAGACATAATGATATAAATAAAATATTTCAAACAAAAAACCTTGAATCTCTAAAACAGGTAAACAATTCATCTATCAACACCACCAAAAAAAAAACAATAAATTTACAGATCAAAAACATATCTTTCCTCACGCATTGTTATGTAACCTCCCTTTTTGCTTGTGTGTGTTAAAATGCATATATTGTCTCTAGTTTATTTGTCCTTCTTGGACTGTTGATGTGAGATATGCTATGTTTGATCTGCATATCTGGGATTTTGTTAGTTTCTGTCATGATAGACAGCTTAATTGTTTGTCTGTATTTTGACACTCAAGGCTTTGTGTTTCAAATACTTCAATTGTATATTAATTGGAACCAAAATATAATATTAGATATTAGGATATTGAGAACTTCTTTATATAATATTAAAAAGTTATTAATTACGTTACAAAAAGCAAAAAATGTTTTGAACGTTTTAATGACCAAAAACAATATCAAACACAAAAAATGAGATTGAAATAATACCAAATAACAAGCATTGAATATATTAAGAACTTACCCAGTCACAAAAAGAACTATACACCAAAACGTGGGATTACAATTATTCTTGGATGTAGTTTTAGTGCTAATAAACATATTGCATCCAGTACAGGTTGTTTTTAATGGACGCCTGCCAACTGGTAGTCTGTTTGCTAAAAACAACATTTGGTAGTTGTAGATTGTTTAAATTAACATGAAGATGGCCGGATGGCCGAAAAAGAAAATAATATATTATCATTGGCAAAATTTAGGCTATATGTATTCTTTATTTAAATGGTCATTTTAACAATAAATATTTTTTTTAATAATTGGCAAAGTGGGAGTAGAATTAAGAATTTTTCAACAAAATGATAATTTATAATAGTTACAGATCAATAATTAGAAATACATTAATAGTTTCCACTTACACAACTTTCTTACAGGAAACAACTTTATAAAATTAACAGTTTGTGTATCTTTTCTGATACTATCTCTATTAAGATTTTGCATTTTTCATATTATTATTATTTTCAAGTTTACCTTAGTACATGGTTTAATTATCTTTCAAATTAAAGTTCCATACAATGTATAGTTAAAAACTAAGAAAAAGTGAAAGAGATTCAAGAAGAATAACTTTAAAATTTGAGTATTTAGTCCACTAAGCTGTATCTTTCCTAATACGATTCATTTTCATTTTTTAGAGAATTTAGTTAACTTTCAAAATATTATTTAAAACTGTAATATGTATTACTTTTTAAGTTATTCACAAATAAAATTAATTTCCTGTCAACTTCTTTTCTTTTTTTTTTTCTCAGAGATATATTATACACGAAAAATTAATGGACTTCAAGGAGAAGACTTAAGAAAAGTTCAAGACATAATTGTTACACATATATATTACTGAGAGATGGCCAAAACCGTGTTATATTCTCGGATGATTCTGAAATACAACAGTTAACTGACTCACTGCAAAAATCGCATAAAAAATTCGACCCGATTACAATACTTTTTTTATTAAAGTGAAGTAAAGAATTAGAAACATACATATAATTTTTAAACTTTAAGAAAATTCATACATCAATCAAAACATTGACTTGGTTATTTTTAATGGATCGTGACACAATTCTGTTTTGTATTAATAATTATTGGAACATCTTTAAGTCAGAATCATAAAGATAATTATTATACTCACGAAAAACAGAGCTAACTGGAGCTATCTGAACCTGCTGTGCAGGATACGGGGGCTGGACCATTTGAACAGGTGGAGTAGGAACTGCTGCTTGTGGTGGTGCATATCCTAAAATAACAGTAGCCATATTAATGATAATCATAAAAAGGCTTAGCAAATAAAAAGATTCAATACAATATTTTTTTCCCTTAGCCTTTCTCTATAGGAATCATTGGCATATTACACTAAATATGTGAACAACAATCTAACCAATACATTTTTTCCCCCTATGTATTTGTTCCAAAATTTGGAAATAAAATTATATTATTCACAAAGTTACATAACGAGAACGATATTTAAATATTGTGAATTCCAAATTATGCACAAAGTACAATTTTACTGCTAACCAATATAAAAATTAATCATAATAATGAATGTCATCAACATATTCAGCAGTTTTTCATAAAAGAAATATTTTTATTCTATTTTTTTTTATCCCTTATTTTAATAATTTTTACTTGCATCCAGATCATTTTCTGCCCTCTTACAAACCCTTTTACAGCTAAGAAACATTGTAAGATGTACTGCAGTTTTATTTTTCCATTTTTGTAGTAACTTTCATATCATCTGATATATTTCGGTGATGGGGCTCAACTCTGGTTTGATTTGACAACACTAAAATCTAACTTTTAAATAAATTCAATATCACTTAGTTAGATATAAAGTTATAAAGATGTTAATGTTCAATGAGAACGGGAAAGACTTATCATGAAAATGGTCTGAATATAAAGCCATTGGTCCAATTAATACTATTTATTTTTACAACTTAGGAAAGAAGTTATACAAAAATGTTTCAATTTATATTTAGTTACTTCCGGAGTAAGTTTTTCAAGGGAATTTAATGTACTCATCATAAGCCATTATAATATTACTCTGTATTTATGTTATAACAACATTTTGAGCTACTTTGCTCATTTTCAATTTAATAAAATTTCAATAATTTCCAACACACATCTATTACATAATTTGATTATTAATATTTATTACAATAAAAATTATAAACATTAAGAGGAGGCAGTACCACATTTGTGGGAATTGACCTGCATTAGATGTAATGTGCACAGAATGCGACCAATAATGGTGGTTTTTGAATTGGTGGACTAATAATTAATAATAAAAATAAAATAATGTCATAGAGATATGTTGGAAACTATAGAAATTTTATTGGGATTTTGATAACTTGAAAATGAGGGAAGTACCTCGAAACGTTATAAGTTAATAAAGAGTAACATTTCAAGGGCTTATCGATCAGATATGTGTAATACTCAAAGAATTAAGAATTTAAAACATATCTTTGATCTATCACCTGTAAATGATAACAGAAGGCTCAACAACCATAAAATATCCAAACCTTTTGATCCCTTAGTCACTAAATAATAGAATAAATAGGTATTAATAAATTTAAATGAAACCTTTAAATCAATTTCTAAACCATATCGACCATAATTAACATCCTACTTATTTTATTATGAAACTGAAGGATTTGGGAGGAACTAGTGTTATATGAATTGTCTAAAAGTCAAATTCTTATTTATATTTATATTATTTAAATATTTTTAAATAAATCTTAACAAAAAATGATTTATTTGTTGTTTTACAAATAATTATTATAGGAGAGTATTCAAAAGATGGGAGAATACCCAAAAACATTAATGAATGTACATCCACACCCAGATTCAAACACTACTGCAGCAGAAAACTAGGATCTAGTGTTATAGACATTTGTTACCATTCAGGATACCACCCTGGGGTGTTTCCAGTCTCTAAAAAGAGAGAATCTTATCTTTGAATGGAGGCAAATCTGGCAGTTACTACTAACTTAAAAAATCTTTTCATCATTCAAAAAAATCAAATTGCAAGATTGAAAAAAAAATTAAATCATTTTTTACTAATTAATGAGTAAAACTTATTAATTTTAAATATAGTATAAAAAACAAAAAAACATTTACGTATATTAGTTTTCATTGATAATTCAGATAAAGTCTGATGGGATCTGCCTGCTACAATGTCCTAAAAGCTAATAGCCATAGAAATTGATCTTTCTAGGCAATCTGTGATCTATTTGTACGGACCACTGTAGAAAATCACTGTCATTGTGCCTAAAATAGAGGAATAAATAGTAATACCACTAGATTCCCAGCAGCAATCTCCATCTCAAATCAACAAGATATACCATGTTCTGTGTGCCAGAGCCCTAGGTAATTTACCCCCACATATTTCAGCCATTTTCAATACATTAAATAACTATATACTGTTGTTGTTATTGTAATGTGATATAATAGTTCAAGACCAAGCAACAATATAATGATTTCTGAAATGTACACATTCAGAAAACAAACTGGTAATTAGATTTCTGCCATGAATACATTTAATAAAGAAAAACCTCGGCCAATCCAACAACAAAAGAATAAACAAAATACCTGATGTCATAGGGGCACTCAGGAGAGGGGCTCCTCCTGCACATAAAAGATAAAAATTAATAAAATTAAATTAATTCTTGGTGTTATAAATTCTTGGTGTAGTGAATTATTCAGTAATTAAAACCATTACCAAAGGAATTCGAAGTTCCCATAGCATCATCATAACTAGGTGGCGGGGCACTAGGCAAAGGAGTTACATTAGCAATATCAAAATTATCTGGAGGTCGAAATTTCGATTCCATTTGTATAACTTAACAATTAACTTAAGATACAGTAAAAAGGAACTTAAGCAACACAAATATACAAGATCAAGATGTTATCAGCTCTGACATCGATAAACAATTCAATTGGCAAGGAGATACAAAACCTCATGCTGCTTCCTTTGTATTGAATATCATTTGAAATATAATTTAATATTTTACTAGTAACATATATGTTAATTATTTATAAAATACAAATATTCCCAGGAATAACTCATTTTTTCTATCCTAAACAAGCTTAGTCTTTCTATTATCAAACTTGTCACTTATTAGATCAATCAAAATTCTTGATGCATAAATGACAAATAAAACAGTTTAACTTTTGTAAGATAGAAAATAATAATTAATAAATATAAAATTAATGAATGCAGCTAAAAACGTCGAACTGAAGTAAGGAATAAACAAGAAAACGAAAATTATTAATTCTTAAAAGTAAAAATGTGTAAAAAAAATACTCTCCGGCGGGCCAGCATAACCCGAGACCTCCTGAGAATGTTGAGACCCTTGGCCTCGATTTCATTGATACTTTTGATTTCCCACACACCATTAACACTTGTAACACCGTAAATCCTTATTATTATTTTTCTTTCAATACTTTTAGTTTACGACAGTAAACACCAGGTTCTCTAGCGATAAACACCAGGTTTCCGCACCATAGGTCACTACTGGCCTAATAAGCGTTTTATACAGCTTTAATTTTATTGCTTTTGACAACAATGGAGATTTGAGAAGTTTCAGGTTTGCATAGTAGGCTCTATTGCCAGCCATTATTCTATTGTTTATTTCTCTGACGATTACATTTTCGTTATTTAGGGCAGAACCAAAATAGACAAATGTGGGTACATTTTCAAATCTAAAATTCCTTATTTCGATTTTGCTGTAGGATCTTTTACTTGCTGCCAAATACAGTATTAGGTATTTAGTATTAGCTTCTTTGACGAAAAGCCCTACTTTGTCGCCATTTTCGTATATTATCTCAAATACCTCTTTAAGTGCCTTTTAACTTCGGGCAACAATGACCAGGTCGTCAGAGTGGGCACAAATTTGCCAGGTCTTGTCAACAATAGTACCTTTCTTAGCTGTATCTTTCATAGCAGCATGCAGAGCTATGTTGAATAGCGTTGCCGATAAGGCACCACTTTGACGTACTCCAGATTGTACCTTGAACAATCGACCAACTTTATTTCCAATAACTACTTTGGATGATGCATTTTCCATGGTCATGTATATTAAATTAATTAATTTATGTGGCATTCCATTTTTCGTTAGCATTCTTAACAGTGCTGATCTCTTGATGCTATCAAATTCCTGCTTATAGTCAACAAATAATAAGTGCAGAGCAGCAGCATATTCATAGCATTTTTCCATCATTTGTCTTATAACAAAAATTTGATCTGTAGTACTTTGGTAAGCTCTAAAACCACATTTTTAATCATCTAAAATTTCCTCAGTATATTTTCGCAGCCTTTTTAATATTAAACTAAAAAGGAGTATATAAAGGAATCCCACTTGGTTATTCCTCTATAATTTGTGCACCGATCCTTGCTGCATTTTTTTAAGAATAGGGTATATTAATCCAATTCTCCAGTCATCCGGCATCATTTTCTCTCTGCATACGTCACAGATCAACTCATATATTAGGGCCTTTATTTTACCACTTCAGTATTTAATCAATTCCACAGTTATCCTGTCCTCACCGGATGCTTCATACTGTAGGTATCCTGGTTTTGTCTTGTGAACCTTACTCTGTAACATCTTCTGACTGGTATGATTTTTCTCTTCAAGGGCTTTCACACATTCTTCATTGAATCATTCCTCACTTCTTCCATTTATGATTTCTTCCAATGTCTCCTCCGCTGCATTGCCTCTAGCCTTCTTTACAACTTTTCATTTCATGTCAATTGGCCCACTTTCCCTGCTTTCCTCTTCTGGCTGGTTTTCCTCTAACTTCTCTTTATCTATTTCTCTAACTTCTTGAAAATTCCTCAGTTCGTTCTCCACCTTTAATTTTGCAGTGTCCAATTTTGTTCGTATGATTGTTTCTTCGCTTGCCACCTTTGTTATCCTTTATATTAATTTAATACTAACCAAAAAGTGGTATGAATCGCATTTAGGGCCTCTCATACTTCTCACATCTATGATGTTTGATGAATGTCTTGTTAATATCAGGATGTGATCAATTTGATTTACACCATCTCTTCCAGGTGCCCTACAAGTACCTTTATGTATCTTTTTATATGGAAAACATGTGATTTTTCTGCGCAATGTGAACATTTCTGCGAATTGGACTAATAACAGTTATTTCATGCAATGAGTGTCTTCCAGTGACTTCTTTTAGGGCCTGTTCTCTCCCGATTTCTGGCACTGAATTCTTCTAATAGCTTAATTGCATTTTATTTGGGCACGTTTTTCAATGTTGCCTACCAGGACATCTTAAAATTTTTCTTTCATGTCATCGTCAGCATCTTCTGTTGGGGCATATACGGAAAAAAAAGATATATTCCTACACCTACCTT